TCTGGGGGGCAAGTTGTTTGGGTCCAATTTAGTCCAATTGGGCCTGGTCACTGAATGATCCAATTAAAAGCCCAAGGCAAAGGTTCAACTCTCCAAATATGCTAAAGTCAAAAATCAAACATCCTCAAAGCCATGTCAAGGCCAGTCAACGGCCCAATCAGCTTGGCCCAGCCCAACTGACTTCCGGGCCCAATCCGCCTCCTTCATTAGCCAAGGTATAAAAGCCAACAATTTGGTCAATTCTTAGGAGGTAAGACACAAAAGCCTCAAGCAACTAAACTCTTGCACAGCTTTCTCTCTCTAATATACTGACTTAAGCATCGGAGGGGCCTTCCTCGGCGTCCCCCCCGAGGCTAGTTTACGTGTATTTGTTGTGCAGGAAACCCTCGGCTCCTGCGTCGTTCGGACCGAGACCAAGTTCCCTCAAAGATAAAAGGATCTTCCGAGATTCGATTGTTTTCATCCGAAACAGCTAGGATTGACTCCAATGTCGGCCTCCAAAAAGGATGAGGTCGGATAATATCGCCCCTTAAGAACTTTCTCCAACAGGCTACCCGGCTGCATCAACAACCTCCATGCCTGTTTACCCAACAAAGCCCAATTAAACAACTTGAAGTCACGAAAGCCCAATCCCCCTTCATTCTTCGGTTTGCAAAGCTTCTTCCAAGCTAACCAGTGAATCTTTCGTTCCCCTTGTTTTTGACCCCACCAAAATTGTGAAACCAAAGATCGGAGCTCATCACAAAAAGAAGATGGAAACTTGAAAACACTCATCGCGTAGGTAGGGAGTGATTGGGCCACCGCCTTTATCATAATCTCCCTAACCGCCTTAGAAAGCACCATCCCCTTCCACCCTTGAAACTTCTTCCACAACTTATCCTTCACCCCTCTTGTAATCACCTTCTTAGATATCCCAACCACCGTAGGGAGCCCCAAATAACGATCATGAATGTCCACCATACGAACCCCAAGCATTCCTGCCAATTCATTACGCTTAGCCTCCACGACGCCCTTACTAAAGGATATAGTCGTCTTATCAAAATTAATTTTTTGACCCGACGACATTTCATAAGTATGAAGGATCTCTTGTATCACTTCCGCATCACCAGCAGCTGCTCTAGAAAAAATGATACAGTCATCAGCAAACAACAAATGACTAATAGATGGAGAAGAGGGGGCAATACGAACACCTCTCAAGCTACCCCGTTCCTCTGCCCCTCTGATCAGATGCGAGAACACCTCGGCACACAAAATGAACAGATATGGTGAAATCGGATCCCCTTGTCTAATCCCCCTTCCCGGTGAGAACTCATCCGAAGGACGACCATTAACCAACACAGAAAATGTAACGGACCTCACACAATCCATCACACTATTTCTCCAGTTCTGAGCAAAACCAAATTTATCAAGAACAGCCTCCAAAAAATCCCATTCAACTCTATCGTATGCTTTTGACATATCTAATTTCATTGCCATGCAACCACTTTTGTTTGGCAAATTTTTCATATAGTGAAAAAGCTCAAAAGCCACAAGAATATTGTCCGTTATCAGGCGACCCGGAGTAAAGACACTCTAATTAACAGATATAATTTTATCAAGAAATATTTTCAGTCTATTGGCAAGCACTTTTGAGACTAATTTATAGACCACATTACATAGAGAAATCGGTCTAAAATCCACCATACGATCAGCATTACTTTTTTTCGGGATCAGGGCAATATAAGTACGATTCAAAAATTGCGGGATCGGAGTGCCTCGAAGAATAGACAGCACACAATTTGACACCGACGGTCCAACAATATGCCAATAAGATTGAAAGAATAAGGGACACATGGGCTTTAATCGGGTGCATTTGGCTCAGAGCAACTTTCACTTCATCACTTGTATACTCGGCTTGCAAAGCCAAGTTCATTTCTGTCGTAACTCTTATCTGGAATGACTGTAACGCCTGCTCGATCAACTGAGGATTGGAAGAAGTAAATAAATGGCGAAAATAATCAACAGCAACACTGCCCACCTTCTCATCTCCAGAGCAAACCTCACCATCATCATCGATCAATTTGTGGATCGTGTTGCGCCTTTTCCGGCTAGATGCTCTCTGGTGGAAAAATTTTGAATTTTTATCACCCTCGGCCAACCATAGAACTCGTGATCTTTGCCTCCACATAATTTCTCCATGCTGCACGAGCCCTGCTATGTCCCTAACAAGAGCCCGACGTTGCTTTTATTTCTAACTAGATAATACCTTTGAAATTTATAAATGTGAAAAACGTGACATTAGTTATTAAGTAATTAAAGTAATCAATAAAAACTTTGACAATAAATAACCAAGTTACACTAATTTAATTTTAAACTAGTGTGTGACCCGGGCTTTGTTCTATATAATACTTTAAATAATTTTATTTTTATATTAACGAGGGTAAATAAGAATAAAATGATAACAATAACTTATTTTGGAATTTTTTGATTTTTATTCTACAGTCGAATAAGTCTAATACATGCATCATGAACGTATTTATACATTAACGTGGATTAATAGAACATAATTTAATTCTAGCTAAGATGGTAATACATGTGGCTCCCATTCAATTTTCCTTGTAATTTGATCGATTCAAGTTCGGCCACTTCTTAAATTTCATTACCTAGACACCTTGTAAAGATTTTTATCTTGAGGAATCCTATATTGTTTTTATTAATTGAGTTGATAAAATTTCGCTTTTTTTAGGTATATATGAGTAGAAATTTTCATTTGTTGTTGCTAAGGGTTCGTTTAGCATTACTGTGGTTTTCTGTTTTTTTGGTTTTTTGTTTTTTAAAGTATATGATATATGCCCCATAATGAATTAAAAATTATTTGAACTTATTAAAATCATAATAATTTTGAAAACTGACAACAGAAAAGTGGAAACACCTTTTTTTTTTTTCTTCCTATTTTTTGTTATTGGTTTTTTTTTTTTAAAAAAAAAAGAAAACTGAAAACCAAAACTGTGCCAAACAAGCCCTAAATTAGGGATTATTTTCTTTCAAAAAAAAAATAGTGATTATTTTTTTAATATAACAGGGGTTTAATTATGAGTACGAGAGTATGATTAGATCAAGACCGGCACGTTCACCAGACAACCCTGAGCAATTTGTGCAGCATATGAATTTTTGGGCTAGGCGCAAATTCACATTCACTTCTCCGGGGCTGTTTTTTGGCTCACTAGGTTATGGCGTGAAGAGATTATTACATGTTTGTAAACTAAATCTTGATCCCGATTCTCATGGTATGTTACGTTGAACAATTGTATTTGTTCCCTTTGTTTCCGTCCTACATTGCAAGTTTGTAACGTATGTAACATGCTAATATGCTTTGCTTTATTTCATATTCCTCTTTTTACAGGTGAAACTACCGAAATCCATGAACTCCTACATTGTGAGCATGTCAAGTGCTCGGACTGTTCTTTATGGAAATTCCCAAGAGCTTGAATGTTTATTTTGGACATCAGTTTTCTTTTTCTTTTACTTAGCTTTTGTATATAACTATTGTCACAATACTGGTTTTTTGTTGCGCATGAAATAATTAATATGAGATGGATTAGAGAGGTTTTTACTTTTGCTGTTATATTGGCTCAAGCTTAAGTTGCTGTTTCTGCAGCCAAATTAATTTGCAGCATATGCTTAGACACTGAATGACTTTATTGTATTATTTGTAAAGGGATAAGTGAGGTGGTAAGAAGACTAATAGTCTAATACTAATTACCCATTATTTCTAATAATGGATACTCCCTCCGTTCCCTAATGTTTTTTTAAGTTTAGAATTATGCGCGGTTATTAAGAAATTGTGTAAAGTTGAGGTATATTGGAATATTTCAATGATTGAAAGTACAATTTTGTTGAAAAATACAATGTTGAGCTTGTGGGGTGTTAAAAAACTATTAAACTAGTACAAAAGTACAATATCACATGGGAAAGTAAGGACTTTAAGTATAAAAATTGTAAAAACAAGGGTAATTTTGTTCAAAATTTATGACCAAAATAGGAAAGATATTAAATCTAAATAATAAAAAAGAACACCCTAAATGGAAACGTAAAAAACATTTAAAAACAAAGGGAGTAGTAAACATAGCTTACCAACTAAACAAAAATAGTTAACATATTAAAATAAAAGACTACTTCCTCCGTTCTTTTTTACTTGACTCGCTTTGATTTTTACACTATTCAACACCTCTTCTTTGACCATTTTAAGAATTATTTGCATTGGCAAACGTGATAGAAAAAACTAGTCAAGTACAAAAGAACAGAGGAAATCTATAATAAAAGAGCAATTCTAACCATTAAGCCATGAATTGTTAAGAGTTAAATTAGACAGGGGCCGCGCGAACGCTAGACTCTCCCCGTTGGAGAGATCTTAGGCTGATGCGCTTCCGAAGTGCAATGTAGGCCATTACCCTAGGCCATGGGCCTTCTTGATCGCCCATTGACCCCGTCCAGGTCAGTATGTTGCATTGTCACGTAAGCTTTCATTTTATACATCACTATCTCTCTCTTCTGTTTGCTTTCTTCGATGTGGGACTCCCATAGTTTGGTCGAAAATATGCTATTCCCATATTGCTTTGCAAAAGATAGTGCTGAATTTGGTTCAAGAATATAGTGACCCTTTGATTTAGACAGTTAACAACATAAATATAGTAAAGATTTCTAATGTTAATCCTTATTATTGTACACTTATACAGTGTTTTATCTAATTATAAGAGTTCATTGATTATTAGAATGCTTTAGGTTCCTAAATTTGTATGAAATGTGAGCCCTTGATTAGTTCCTTGCATAATCACACCAAAACATGCGTTCTTAAGCTACAGCTTACCTTTTAGCTTACTTGCACATAGATTACTCCCTGATTAAAGCAACAAGAACAATTTGATATGAGTTTTAATTTATTGTTAATGCTTGAAAACTATTTAACATATAAATGATGGGTTGATATCATTTATTAATTTTAAAAAGACAAGTATGACACAAAAATTACCGTGATACATAGATTACACTATTATAAACCTAATTAAATATCAAGTCGGGATTCGCTTATAAGTTGGTGTCAAGTACCAACCCCAAATCTCATCTATAATCTTACTCAAAAATTATTATTAAATTACTACATGGTTAATAAAATTACATGACACAAACATTACATACAGAATTCAGTGGTACATAAAATACTCTAATAGACCCAATTAAACGTCAGGTCAGGTCAAGAAGATTAATACTATTACGTATATCAAGTTAGCAACCAGTCAACAACCCAAAACCTAACGTCTACAAAAATTATATAGTTGGCGCCAAAAAATGTTCCATTTACCCGCCATAAATCCACTTTATGAATATTCACAAATCAAAAATCACATTTGTAAATTGTAACAGTCGTAAATACACAATTCACAAACCCTAAATCCCAAAAAAAAAAAAAATGAAGAAGAAAAACCAAAAACCACCAAAAGAAGAACAACAACAACAAGAAGATATACAGCAATACTGGTTGCTGAAAACCGAAATTGGGGAATGGTCTTGGGAAGATCAATCCTCAAACGGAGGAAAATCTAAATGGGACGGCGTTAAAAACAAGCAAGCTCAGAAATATCTCAAATCCATGAAAATGGGGGACCTCTGTTTCTTCTACCATTCTGGCAACAAAGCGCGCCGCATTGTCGGCGTTGTTACAGTCGTTAAGGAATGCTATGACGACGGCGATGACGGCGGAGTTGCGGTGGATGTAGCTGCGGTGGGGGAGATGAGGAGGCCGGTGGATTTGGCGGAGATGAAGATGGATGATCGGATGAAGGCGTCAGGGTTTGCGTTGTTTCGGCAGCCTCGGTTGTCGGTGGTGCCGGTGTCGAAGGAGGTGTGGGAGAGGGTGTGTGAGTTGGGTGGTGGGTATGAAGGGGATGGTAGTTGTGGTGTTGAGGATGAGGTATGAAGTATGATCGCAATGTGTTTGTGGTTTTGTCTCAATGAAAGAAAGTTGATTTACGGAGTAGTAAACATTTTGGCTAAGCTTTGAATAGACTATTTAGTGGTTGTTAAGTTTTTTTTTGGGTGTAGGGTAAGAGTTAATTTTGTTCATCCTCTGTTTTGTATGGATTGATTACTAATTAATTGATTATCGTGTAGCTTTTCCAATGAAGAATACGACTTACTATTTAGTAATCCAATTTTTATTTTTATTTTTATTTTTTTAAAAAAAAAACTATAGTGGTTGGCTGGTTGCTTATAAAAATATTATGGAGATTAAGTTACTAATAGTAATAAAAGTATGATGTATCCTATTATTTACTTATACTTTTATAATTTACTCATATTGAAATAAAATTTTTGCCAACAACTACCTTTTAAATGACCACTTTTGATAACAACTACCATTTAAAATTTTCTTTTAAAAAAACTAACACAAAGTCACAAAAACTTTGAGTAACACTACCACTTTTATTTTCCGAAAAGAATTTCCGTTGAAAAAGCCTAGTTTATAAGATTTCAATTAATTGTGGTATAGAAAACAAGAGATTTTGATAGTAAAAACACTATTATAGGTCAACTATCTTTAATTTTGCATTATAATTTATTTAATTTCTCAATTAAATCTTAAATTTAGGGTTATGGTAAAAAAAAAATTGAATTAAGGGCTTTACGAAATTAGAAGATTTGGGGCAATTGAAGTGTATAATTCAATTAAGGGTTAATGTAGTGCAATATTATCATTTAATTTGGGTTTTTTGAGGGAAATTATATAAAATATGCCCCAAAAACGGAGATTCTTGCCGGAAACAATAAATGTGGTAGTGCTACTCAAGCTTTTTATGTTTTTGTGGTAGTTTTTTCAAAAGAAAAATTTAAATGGTATTTGTTCTCAAAAGTGATCATTTAAATGGTAGTTGTTCGCAAAATTTCCTATTGAAAGGGTGATTTTATCTTTTAAAGAACACACGTATGACATATACTACCAGTATTATTCTATAAAATACTCGAGTTTTATCCAAATCAACTCACACTACTCCGTAGTTTCATTTGTTTAGATAGGCAAGGCATGAAAAATTGAAAATGATGTAGTCAATTAGTTGTATACATGGTATTGTGGTGAGCCGAGTCGAACCGTGTTCATGTTCAAGTTCATTTAAGTTAGGCGAGTTCGATTATGATCTCGAGCTTTCAATCAAGTTCAAAAATATGTTCAAGCTCGGCTCATTTAGTACACTACATGTTCGCGAACGGCTCGTTTATGAAACAAGTTAATAAACAAGCTTTTGATGAATGAGTATAGTAATAAACGAGCTTTATATTTTTAACATTTGAAAATCTCAAAATTAGCATAATAATAAATCCTAATTATAAACCTAAGAATTAATCTTAATTATTAAAAAAACATAAGAATGAAATTAACAATTGTGAATAAATCAATAATTCATGAATCTATATAAACGAGTAGTCCGCAAATATAAATAAACGAGTTGTTCGTGAACTTATTTGAATGAGCATATCTATTTTCAGAGCTTCAAAATTTGTTCAAGCTTGGCTCATTTATCAAATGAACGAACATAAACAAGTTTCAACCGAGCTCGAACCCGAGTAGTTTATTGATCGGCTTGGTTCATTTACACCCCTAATTGTGGTAGAATGGTGGATAGTAGAGGTGGAAAAGTTATGGTTGGGCCACATATAGTAAATGGGCTTAATATTGAAATTGATTTGAATTAATTGTCAATTTGTCATTGGGTAAAATGTTTGGGCAAAGTGGGATAAAATTGGATCATTAGGAAGTTAAATCCAATATAGACAAAATCTAATACAAGTATCCATTTATCTTCCCATGATTATTATTTCAAGATTTGAATTCAACATCCCTTGATTTACTTTTTTTTTTTTTTTTTGAACGGGACATCCCTTGATTTACTTTGTGTCATGTTCAACATACAACTCAAAATTATACATGATTTTACTCGTATAATTAACCAAATGCATATTACTCTAATACAAACATTTTACCCATACTCATTATTTTTATTTTTATCATATCCAACTAAATAATGTAAATATCTACTGTTACAAAATAACAATAAAACTTTTACTAATTCAATAGTCTATTGTACTCATAACAAATTTGTAAAGATATAGTCACATCTGATTATTGTTATAAATGGTCCAATATTTATGGGGTATTTGAAATTGGTTAAGTTTTGAATTTCTAATTAAATTACATTCTTCTTAAAGGTCGGTGTAATAATTAAGAGTGATGTTGGTACTTACTAGCAATCGAAACTAACCGTGCTTCATTTTATTATTAGAAAAAACTTTTTAGACGACTAGATCCATGTCAAGTCCTACTAATTTTTGTCTTAACCAAAGATCAGAATTAACAACTATTTTGTTTTGTAATACCTAGGATTGTTCTTTCGTGTGACGCAAGATATACATACATGGAGTATGTATATACATTATTGCAAATCCGATCTACCCATAAGATAATCAGAATGAATAACAAAATTATGTAGAATAATTTTATATATATCGGGGTCATTATCTGTGTACTAATTGTAGTTAATAGTTTAATAACAAGTAATTGAACAACGTCATTTGCTTCAAACGAGACACAATGTATGGAAGTAAAATAGTGTAGAAGAGCATTAGGAAGTTGGCGCCTTCCATCACTTAGTCTTCATTCTAAGTCACAAGTTTGTCCAATATGATTTAAAATTTATAATTAACTAATTAAGAAGTACAAATAGTATAGAATTATGAGATATTTTTTTTAATCAACAAGCATATACAGCTATTAAATTAGTCGTCCTTCATAATCATGATTTCTTTATTTTACTCAGCTTAACTTTCACTGAATATGTTGAAAAACTTTACCCAAAATCTAATCAAAGGTCATTTGATCGAATAGAACGGTTTGGTTGACAATTTGACATGCACCAAACCAAAATAAATTGCATCAATTAAATCAAAATAAATTCCATCCAATTGTAACACACTCGTAATTTGTAATTTGAAATTATTTGAAATGGTACTCTTATGCAAAACATATAATTTAACAATATAATACTACGAATTAAGTAATATAATCCAAGTGATAATCGAGGGCAAGGATTAATTATATATACTTAAAATCTATCTAGTTTTCTATTTATAAATCTCATCTAATTAGAAAAAACATAAAAGATAATATCTTTGTCATATAAAATGGAACAACAATTCTTTTTTTTTTTTGTTTGGCAATTGACTCAAAAACTATCAATGGGCTCACCTTTGGTTTTATACTGTAATCTATGTGCTACGCCTACCATCTGACTTTCCGTTTTGTGCCTTTCTAAAACAAGCGAACAGCTATAATAAGATTTACAAGTATTGCCACTTATTTAAATTAAGTGGTTATAATATCCTTTTATACTAGCTTTTACCATTAAGGTCAAAGTTTCTAAATCTTCTACTAGTAATTGCTATATTAAGGGAGTTTGGCAGGGCAACACCACTACAACTTACGTACTTTCCATCTAAGATAGGATAGGTCTAAAATTTTAAAACCTTCTCAAATTTTAATTTTAAATGGGCAAACTAGAACTAAGCAAATATCCTATATTGTATCACACACGCGTTACAATCTATCTATCTATCTATATATATTATACTAAAAGACAAGCGCCTTAATGTGAGGATGACAAATGTCACTCTCTCATTGGCTTATCTTATGTATAAAATATATCTATATAATTACTGTTTACATATTCAAGCATAATTATTTTTGTTAAACTTCAAACCATAAAAGCAAGTTTCTATACATGCATAAGATTTTCATGATTTCCTAACATAAATATTGATTTAATTTTTTTATAATAAATATATACTTTCCAATACTACAAATAATCCATAAAGTCTTTCCGATCTTTATTTATAGTCAAGTTAAAGAATAATAACTAATTTGAAGCAATATGATTAAAGTGGCATAATTAAGGAAACAAATATTTCGTATTTTGAAAGGCTAATATTGTTTTTTTTTCATGAAAATTAAATAAAATCGATAGAATTTAGTTTGATGTCAATTATGAAATCAATACAAACATTTAAAAAAAATCAAATGTACAATAAAATATTGTGCACCTGTTATACAAGTTACCCTGTAATGAATGAAAGTTATTTATGCTTTATTGATAAAAGTTACCCAAAATAGTCTACAAGTTATCCTAAATTCAATTCAAGTAATTGGATGAATACAAAAGTTTTTGATAAAGATACAAAATAGTGTGTAAAAATTACTTTTATCGTTTGTTGTACTCCTTGAAAAATACTGAATGCTGAGCCGAAATGTTGTCTTGGAAAAAAATACATAATCTTGAAAATAAATTTAATTTTTAATCGGCCTTTCATTTTCTATACAATGTCTTTTACAATGACCTTTTGTTTTTCTTGCATTTAAATAAATAAATAAAAAAAAAAAAAACTAAACCAATAACCAATCTAACACAAGAAGAATAAAAGTTAAATTGAATTAGACATTTGACGGAAAAGGGATAGATATAAAATGCATTATAACTATTACTCGTGTTTTAAATTGTAATATTCGTATTAACAATGCTATTACTTATGATTTTTTTTTATAGAAAAACTAACATTTTTTATTTAAAAATCGTGCATTGGTCATGTACTATACTAGATATACAACAATCTTGTGCAATTATTTATGTTGTTTTATACATAATAATACTTTTAACTATAATAGTATGTGTATATAATATAATATTTTTTATAATATAAAAAAGTATATGTATATAATATAATATTTTATAACACGTGTCCTTCATACCAAGTGTAGTCCCAATCACCACTACACCAAATGGTTGTTGGTGTAGTGGTGATTGAGACTACACTAGGTAGGGAGGCTTGTGTTCGCTCCCCTGCAACAACAATCGGAAGGGGAATGAAACCTAATAACCTATAACTGATCCGATCCTCAAATCAGTTGTTGGTTATATATGTGACTATTATATAATTTATAGTTTTTGGCACAATGATTAACTTAGGAAAATATATATTTTGTATGTCAAATATAAGGTTATTATTGTGTCTATATATTTAATGAGTGCGACGGGTAAATAAAACATGTATATATTAGATTGATCGTAGCTACTGATGCGGATGGTATGATAAGAAAATTTCAGTTTTTTCTCAATGGGAGATATATATAAATTAGTCCACTTCTTATATAGCTATGTGGAGTATTATTCAATTATTTTTCAATTAATAAAATAACATTATAAATTAAAAGAAATTCAAATAACATAAAATACTATTAAAGTAATATTCCTTTAATTTTTTTTATTGACCATTAGTAACCAAGTCCTTTAATAGTAAATGAATATAATTACCTTTGTTTTTATTTTTATTTTTCCTACGGGTTTAAGAATTTGATTTATAAATCGTGCATCGCACGGGCACTATGCTAGTATAATACTGTATGTCTAGACATAGTGCAATATATTCCAATACACTTAACTAGCTGTCAATTAAGTAGTTAGTATATTTTTTTTTTACCGTTGATTATACAAATTGAACTCTCTTTTTTACGGTAATCTTGGCACGACATTGTAGTAATATGCATGATTGTTTTCAATAATTATCATGAATGTAGATAGATAAGATGATATCATATCATCCTTTATTTATGGTCCATAATGTTTTACTTGGCATGGGACAATTGAATATAATCATGAATCATCTACTCCGATCCGTACTAGACTAGTAGGATATATGGCTCTATGGGCATGGCCCTCCTTGAGCGCTCATGGTTGCATGGGCGGTATGGCCCTCCTATTTGGTGTTTTTGGCAACTTGACTTGCATCTACAATTTCATGCATGTGACTCAAGCCATAATTTTGTAAGTGATTTGATTTTTTCACTACTTTCCTATGTTAAAATAAATTGACGTTATATTGAATTTATATACCGATAATATAAGGTGAGGTTGTCTTGGCCTAACGCTTAAAACTAAGAATCCATTATAACTCATTCAAACCCAAAAAAAAGGTTATACAAGTATCTATGTTTTATACTCCGTTATTGATTGGAACATAATTTGTTATGTAATTTGCTAATAATTTAGTTTTTAAATTATTCTTACAAAGTATATCAAAAAACTTAATGAGTAGAAGAAATCAACTCCAAAATAATTTCACCGTGACTATTATTAGGAGGCTGATAGTAACTTTCTTTGAATTGAGACTGTGATAGGTCTAATTTTGGTATTATTGAGAATATGAACACCAAAACAAAGATGGTCCTTTTGGTCCCTAGTCTAAAAGATCTTATCACCAAATTTGTACGTATGACTCTTTCTACATGATGCTGATCGATTATTTTGTTTCCTTTGGTTATGACTCAAACATAATACGGAGTAAGTCTCTTTAAAATCAACTTTTCAGTTTTTGTAAAGCCGATTTAGGAATACAAGTACTATTTTATTGGACTTATTATTGATGTTATTTTGTCTACAATTTTTTTTTTTTTTTAAACTTTATGTTTTTATCCCTTTTTTCCTCTTCCTGTTATAGCATTACTTAATTTTTAATGCAATTGAATTTATTTCACAATAGAAATTAAAACTTGTTTTATTTGAAAAAAATCAGCCTAAGTTAAGCATAACAAAACCTTATGCCAGTTATAAACAAATGCATTAAGCAGTACAAAGTAAATGTGTATAAATGGTACAGCCCTACGCAGCCCCTTTATATATAGAAAAATGTAAATAGTCTCGTGCAAATATAAAAAATAATCAAAATGATCCAAAATTACAATGGTAATTAATATGAATTACTATATTTTGCAATTAGAACTGCCAATTCAAATTGCTTATATGGCTAATTAGTTCTAAATTGAGTCTTTTGAATATAATTCGATTACATTTTATACAATGCTAATGCATCCATGCAATCAAGTGCGTACACATATTTTTTTTAGAGCTACTTTAATTTTTGTAGGATTAAGGTCGAATCGGGTTAGTTTATGATATCTTTACCTCTAGGGTTAGGGAGTAGGGGCACTAGTAGGTTGATAGATAGAGGATGGGCAAGTAAAGGAGGCCACTGCCACATAGATGAAATCTCAGGGTGACATGTTGTGGGACAAACAATGGTCTAACGTGAAGGGGACATAATTAATTGATAAAAAGTTATCAAAGTAAGAGAAAATAGAGAATAAATGAAGAAGATTAACAAAGTAGTTGGAATAAATTTGGAAATACTGTACGTGTATAGCTTGGTCCCTCCACAAGCTTACACATGATATCCTTATTCCTTCCCTTGGCTCATCTCATCATTGATCAGATTTTCTTTGGTTTTACATTCCTATTTCTTTATTATTCAACTTTTATTTATATATTTTTGGTGGATGCAATAATGTTGATTTTTTAAATCAGCAAAAGTAGTCAAGAATCCATCCTCACCATTAGTAATTAGGAGGACCCATTTTCATATAAAACTATAAACGACATTTTGCAGACATCACTTTATTTTAATCCGACATGTCAATTAGGCTAAATAATACGGAGTAATTGGTGTTGTTTGATTGTACAAAAATAATATGTGAATTTGAAAATAGGAAATTTGTTTGGTAGATCATAATGAGTGAAATGTGAAAACTGCAAATTTATGGGAATATTAGTAAACACCAAATTAACACAAGTTTACTTAATTTTTAGGAAATTTGATGTGGGATTTAATTTCCCATGAAATACAAGGTCTTTGTAGAAAATTAATTCTTATGTCAACCAAACATTAGTAAATTTATTTACATTTTGAGATAGACTAAGAAATTACACTTTGCAGTCAAAATAATCATTTTTAAAAAGTCAAATTAAAATAAGTGTAATACATTTCATCGGGTTTTAATCTATTATCAAAATTTAATTATAAGTCAAAATATAATTTAGCTTTAAAAAATCGTATATAAAATAATAAAGTATAGTAAAAATAAGGTGAATTAAACCTGACCTAATTATAAAATACTACTATGTGCAATTTTACACCTTGAGGAGTTACCAAGTTTTTGTCTTACGAGGACGGTCTAACAATAAATAATTATAAATTTTAACCTTTTCCTTTTTTGTCAAATGCGTTGTCGTTTTGCTTCTTACAAAATACTCATCTAATACGTAATTAATCCAGTAATACTTAATCAAGAAAAACAAACAGAGTGTAAAAGATAACTGCAAAAACAAACCAACAACAACAACAATTCAATTCAACAGATCAAAGCTTACATCGGAGGAGAGAGAAAACCATCGACTACTTTCTGTTCTTCATCAACCCTTTTTAATTCTCACGTAATTTTCTCTATTCATTTTTTTTTCTTCACTCCACTTTCTCAATTTATTTTTCTACATTTTTTTTTTTTGATTTTCATCTTTTTAAAGTCGATGATTGATTACAACTACCTGTGTAAGATTAATTTTTAATTGAAATTTTCCGGGTTTTGATTTTGTATTTGTTTTTGAGCTTTTTCTTTTGCTAGTGAAGCATAATTTTACCATTAATAGATTCCGGAAGATTCATTTGGATGCAGAATCATTTTGTCCTTTTGTGAAAAAATTTGTATTTAGTGCTTATAATCTTCAATTTCGTGTTAAAATTGATCTGTTGATACTTAATTTGTGCGAACTAATGATTCATGATTCCATATTTATGAACAATAATAATTGTTTTTTGTCGAGCATGTTACTATTACTGGATATTTAGTCATACATGAATATTGATCCATTACTTTTGTTTATGACATTTAATGGAATTTATTTAGCATCATAATTGATTGGAAATCATGAGCTTAATAAGTAAGATTAGGAGTAAAAACAAGAAAAGGATTTGATGTTTTTGGTGGGAAGTTGTGAATTACTGTACGGATCTGATTATTTATTTTTATGGATTTCTTTGATTTTACTCATGACACTTTACATTTGGAGTTTGAATAAACTTGTATGTAGTATGGTTATGTTACACTTATATCAAATCGAATCCCGGCTACATCATTGCCCTTGTGCTCCCTATACACCCAATCCCTGTAAAAAAAAAAAGTTTAGTAAGGTGTGAGTGGTTATTGTGTTTTTTTGGTGTTCACAGCATGAAGTACTGAATGTGTTGTTTTCGATTTGAATTTCTTATTTTTTGTATTTGATTTATGTGTTTGTTTCATATGATGATTCCAGAGTCCAGACTCTTAGTAGCTGTATTGATCTTGAGATAAAGCCATGGCTTTATGAACTGGAATGATTTATAAATTATGTGATCATATTGGTTGTAGGAGGTCAGACTGTGTATATTTGGACTGTGTTTTCATCGAAGCCTTAATACTGGGATTCTTTTTGTATGCTATTTGACTGCATTGCTTCTTATTTTTGCAAAATGTAATGGAGGTCTTGATTTATTTTTTGCCCTTGTAGTAAGATGACTGATGGCTGCTGCAGAAGCAAGAGCAGTTTGGCAAAGAACAGCTAACCGTTACTTTGTCCAAGAAGATGCTAAAAGAGCTCCCAAATTAGCTTGTTGTCAATCTTCAAACTCATCTTCCAAACTAGTGGATGCAGGACCTGCTAATGCTACTGATGCCCCGGATCATCGAACTATAGGTCGTATGCCTTTTGATAGGACACCTTCGTATAGTAATTTGCCTCCTGATGCAAAATGGTGGCTTCAAATGCAACCAGATAATGGGCATCACACGGGCCTTAACTTTCAGCAATTTCACTCTAGGACAGCTGATGTGGAAACCTCTTCACCTGTTAATATGAGTAAAGATTTGCCAGTCAGAGAGATTGCAACTATGGAGGATGAAAGTATACAGAATGTTGTTTACAAAGACCTGGAGTCTTTTTTCGACGTGAAGAAAAATCCTGAATCAATATTGGATGAATTGAATGCTGTTGATAGTAATAAGGTGGATCAAGATTATCTTGATGTAAAGAACATGACAGACTACTATGAGTTTCTGGAAATGGAGATGGTTGGTAGCTCCGTTTCTAAACAAATCAGTGACTTATCTTCAAACACAGATTCTTCTTGGATAGGTGGCGAGAAGGTTCCTTGGTGGCGTGTTTCAGATGGGGAGGAATTAGCCTCGTTTGTGGCGCATAAGTCCCTTCATCATGTTGAGAATTGTGATCTTCCTCCCCCTCAAAAAACGTGTGTGAGAAGAGAGCTTTCTAAACAGGCCAAATCTTTTGACCATGATGAGCTTTATATGTCCTCTTTAGAGTGCGAGGCTCGAAGTGATGTCATTTCCAGTCCATCTTCTATCAGGTCACAGAAAATAGATTGGTCTGCAGTACAAGGAGGACTATCCCAGAATGAAAACAAAGCTTCTGGACCTAACAGGTAACATGAAAACTCTAGTTGTGTTGTTGCATGGTAGGATATGTGCCTATTTGTGGGTTTTTCTGCAACAAACTGTGCTACTTGTTTAGATCTCTTTAGCCTTCCTTGTGGTTATTCTAGCTGTTATATACGAAGTATATTTTATTTTCCTATATTGCTGTCTTCTAACTTGGTTCTAATACTACTTGTAGTACAATTTTATTTTAATCCAAGAATTATTCTAGAGGTTTGTGCCTTTTGAAACTCTCAAGTCTCAAAGTAGCAATGGTAGGATGGGACAAGTGTGTGGATCTATTTGTTCAATATAAGCTTCATGTAACACAGCAGGACCATAAATTTCTTCAATTAGGTATCCTAATGTCTTAATAGCACAATTCCTTACAGTAGTCAGTAGCCTGTGGCCTTTCGGAAATGATAGACTTGCTGAAACCCCTAGGATTTAGCATCGAGACAGAGAGAGCTATGAAACTGTTCATGTTTGGATAATGTATACTACAGCCATCGAATCCAATTCTACTACTCGCATTTTCTGTTTCAGATAGTGCTATACTTTGCTGATTGATAGAGCCAAATTTAAAAGTGTGGTGCAGTATAGCAGTAAACAGTATATTTATAATCCGTCTCAATGTTGAAAAGGTTATTTGTGCTTATAGATTGAATTGTGACATCTGAAGTATACTTTGTATTAAATATATAACTTTCTCCCATAGAAAAAAATATGTCTCTGTGCTGTGCTCTTATGGTTCCAGGATTTAGCAAAAGAATTGTCCTCTTATTATTGGAATGTTTTCCTTCGAAACTTTTTCAGTGTGGCAGTCATTTGGATTACTGCCTGGTTTATACTGTAAACTTTTATAGAATTTCTGCTGTTCTGCATCTTTTTCCTCCTTTTGTAATAGGTCTTCCATATAGGGTAGTGATGTAGATGAAATTTGATTTCGGGTGCCACTCCCGAAGATTTTACCAGTTAGGCTAGTTGGCATATCCAGTCCTTATTCCTCATTTATTGTTCTGTGATTTGGACTTTATTAAGTTCTGTTAACTTATTCATGTTGGCTCTTCTATAATTTCTAATTCCCAGAACATGTAGTGATATGCAAGAAGAGGGAAAGATTTTAGATAATGACCCTAGCAAAGCTAAGCTATTGGAAGCACTTTGCCATTCTCAAACTCGTGCAAGGGAAGCGGAGAAGGCGGCAAAAGAAGCATACACCGAGAAAGAACACATTCTCAAGCTTTTTTTTCGACAAGCTTCCCAGCTCTTTGCTTATAAGCAGTGGTTTAAAATACTACAATTGGAAAATCACCTCCTACAGACCGAGGGTGACTCTTCACCTCCCACAGGATTCCCTGATTTACTTCCTTGGATGCCCCACAATCCCCGGAAAAAACTACATAAAAGCTGGCAGAAGGCAAAGCGGCATAGGAGAGGCTCACAAGAAAACGACATTGGTAAATACGCTGTTGCATTTGCTGTAGGCTTCACTCTTGTTAGCGCCGGGCTGATTCTGGGATGGACAGTTGGTTGGTTGCTACCTGCATTTTAGGTGAGTAATACCTTGTTTTGAAGGTTGAAGACGCAGAGCAGTAAGATTAGGCTTCTTTCAGTATTAAACTGGTAATTTGCTTAGGTTTTTTAGCAGTTTGGAGAATCTTCTTATGATGGATCTCTCTGGTTTCGTGTAAATACTTAGTCGTATGTGTAATATATATGTATAAATGTAAATACAGAATGTTAAAACAGACACCCACTCTGTTACAACTTTCTTCATTTTAAGGTATGTACGATTTCTTTATTTCATGTTATGTGCAATTTCTTGTTTATATAGTGCCTTGTGAAGTTAAATCTGGAGAAATTATTATGTTAACTCAATGACTCGGCCTTTAACCCCCATATTTGAGAGAGGCTTGCATTGTCCATTTAGAATTTTTGGACAAGCGCAACCCTATTTTAATTATCATTGTTACTAAAGTGATGATCTACTAATTAAAAATACTTGGTAAGTAATTAAGGCCCTGTTTGGTAATTAGCTGGTAGCTGATTGTATTAGCTGGTTATAATAGCTGGTTTGACTAGCTGGTTATAGTAGCTGGATTGACTAGCTGGTTATGATTAGCTGATTGTATAAAAATGTTTGATAAATAGCTGTTAATTGTTAACTGTTTTAGTGTATTTAAGAAATAAAAAGCTAATTGTACAATAAGCTAATTTTAAAAAGCTCTTATAATGAGCTTTTTCTAAAAGAGCTTTTTGAGCCTAAAAAGCTCTTTTAATAAGCTATATACCAAACACCCAAATTAGCTTTTTTAATTGGTCAAACATCTAATTGGACAAAATAAGCTAAAAGCTTTTTACCAAATACACCCGAAGTATGAACACATTTCTTTGTTGGTACAAGTGTTAATTGTTTTTACCCGAAGTAAAATGTCTACAGCTAGAGTTACTCCGCATCTCCACCCCCAGAACTGGTAACGATTAAGCCAAATTGAGGGCAGTAAATTTGCCAAATTTTTAGGAGCAATAAAGTATACTAACGTAAGAGGTTTGGAAAATAGAAAAACATTCCTTTCAAAAATCCTACAAAGTGGAACCCCAAACTCACAAACTATTGTCGAGAGAATGCCTGCGATCTAAGTGACAACTCAAAGTGGGAAGTGCAAACCGCTCTTCCATAGTTTACCATTATCTCAACTCGCCACTCATTAGTTTTTTGCTATAGGATTATCCATTGCAAGGCCTAGGACTTGAGTCCCACATCGGCCCCCATAACCGATGTGGGGTTTGTATAAGACGATAAGCTCTCCTCCATTTATGCTAGCTTTTGGGGAGGCTCTCAAATATAGTAATAACTTGAACAGGACTGTCAACTATTTTAAGCTTACAGAATTTGCAAAGAAGATTAGTACTCTACTAGTTTCATGTCCATAAATGCATTATTACAACTTCACTGAGTTTTAAGTTTTTTTTTGGACAACATTCTTTTTATTATTATTATTTTTAATATATATATATATATTTCAGAAAGTTTATGTCGACGCTGTGGAGGAAGATCCAGTCTGCAATCCCTGCATGACCATCTGATTAGCCTCAGCCTCGAGCTCATCATACTTGGCCTTCACCAAAGGCCAAGAATCCTCCAAACCTGTTGCTGAGAATGCCTTCTTCATATTGTCAACAGCATCATTTAGACCGCAATCAAAGGCCTCAATCCCATTTGAAATCTTGAAGTCTTCATAAGCTTGGGTTTGCTTCCAAGCCTCAATAACCTCCTCCTGAGAGAGCATGTTCCTCCCATCAGATGCGCTAACCTGATCTCGTGCTTCAACCAGCTCTTGTTCTGTCGCATTGAGCTTCCTCTGGAGGTAGCTACTGAAGGTAAAGGCATACTTATGCATTTTCTTCTCATTGGCTATCTCGGCCTCCTTAGCCTCGATAGCTTCCCTGTGCTTTGTGCTAGCCAAACTCAAGTCGGACTGCACCCTATGCAAATCTTGCTTCAACTTGTGGCAATCATTCCTCACTTGGTTAAGCTCCGCACGAAGGCCCAAAGTTTCTTGCAGAGAGCCCTTCTTGAAACGCTCTCCTAAAACTGTCATAGACACTCCAAACTGTACAAAGTGAAGTAATTAGCAAACATAATAGCTTTCTAGAAAGCAAAGTCCAATCAAAGAGCCGAGGATTACCTTTGTATAAGCATCATACATGGCATCTACTGCAGCCTGTCCTGCCTCATCGAAGTAAGCATCATCCGCTTGGGAGTAAAGCTGGTTAGTCAGGTCATGCACCTTGGGAGCCCTATCAGTCCATTTAAGGGCCAAGAACGCAGATGGAGGCGAGGAATCACCTCTCTCTTTCCGGGGACGTTTGCCCTTGGATTTCTCACACCCACTGCTAGAAGCATGGCGGTTACGGGAGAAAACTGAAGGTGAATCCCGAGAATACGAGATAAGCATTGGTTAAAGAGATTGACATAACAATGAACCAACACAGATCAAGAAGCAACCCTTACCGTAGGAGGGGTTGAAACCATCAACTCCCTCTCTTGCAACAATTTCATACTTAGTTTCTCGTTTTAACTTGTTGGAAACAATATCTACACACATCGACAAGCAGATAAGTTAAAAGGCACATGTTCATTCCATATACACATACATTGATACATTAACACAAACTAAAATGAATCAACCACTTCTCACATTTAAATTACAACAAGAATATGTGATAAATCGTGATGGCTAACAAATGCAATTTACAAATATATTCTCCCTGCACTTATACTTATTGTGGTAGGAAATAATCCCATCATTCCACACAATAATTTTAGATAAAAAGGCTGTGTTTTTGTGCTAACAGATTAAGTATTTTTAGAATAAAACCCTTGAAAAGTAATAATTTCAAACAAAACTAGCTACAATTATTATATCATACAGAAATCCAACAACAAAGAAAATTATATGAATTTGTAAGATTGATTAAGCTTACAAAATTGCAGGAAACCATTAATTCATGAAACCTAGGCTACGGTGAACATGAAATTCCGAAAAATAAAAGATTTATGACCTGACCTGAGAGAGCTCAGAGAGAAGAATAGTGGAATACGAAATGCAAGTGTTGAGTAAACGATAAGCGATCTAACTCCATCCAGTACCTTCTCGGTATCGGAAGTCTGGAATCCCTGTGTTGCTGGATTTGGAGCTGCGCAAAGATGGCGCACAGGTGGAGGGTTTTTCGATTTTATTTTATTTTATTAACTACAGTAGTTACTAGTTAGAGTTCCTCTCCCGTTTCTAGTGATGTGGGATCAATTCTCATTACAAATCTTTGTCAACAAAATTTGATATTTTTTATTAACTCTCTAACACACAAAATACCCTAAAGAAAAACGAACAACAAAACTATCGACTCCACCACCCGAGACAACAAAGAGATGTGAGATCAATTCTCACTTATTCTGGTGTTAGTTTTCAAAATTATTATTTTTTAATATATTTAACCAAACAGACCCTTAACATTGAAAGTTGAAGATTTCAAAGCCTTCTTTATAAGAGGTTGATACCTCACTAGTAGATGCCTTTTGGAGTTTTGGATAGGAATTATGTGTTGTACAAAAATCAAATTAGGGCAGGGCTAAGTTTAAAAAGAACAATATCTTGTGGACTCGTGTTAACCTGGGAAGTCAAGCCCTTGAATCTCATACGACATGTCGTCATTCGTCTACAAGCCCAATCATGACTAAAGATGAAAATACCCTTCTTAAAGGTTAAGTAGCCCAATCATGACTATAGATTAAAATTACCCTTTCTCAAAAGTCAAGTATATTACAATCCTCCTCATTATCTTTGATCACCCACAATTGTTCTTTTATGAATTTACCCATAATCTATTAGCCACTTTTTTGTTAAATAAAAGAATAGATAAAATGACAAAGGTATCCCATTGATTAGATAAAATGACAAAAATATCTCATTTAGTAGCTAAAACGACTCTATTACCCTTTGATTTGTAAATTAGTTTGATGAGTTTTTATTATAATTAATTTTTATTTTATAATAAGATCAATGAATTGATTCACGAGCTTTTCAAACCCTCGTTAAGGGCTCAAGCCCGAATCAAGCCACCATGATTTGAGCTTTGACCAAATTTTGACCAAGCCAAGCTCGAACTATTCACCTTAAGTGAAACAATTAAAAAAAACTATAAAAGAATTAAAAAGGCTAGGCTAATAGATGGAAATCAAAAGCCCAAGTTCGAACCAAATAAGCAAATAGGTGAATCAATTTGGTCCGTTTGGTAGCCACCATTAACGCACCCAAATTCCGAACTCACAAAAACACACCTAAAGAAAGAAAGAGAGAGAAAAAAGTGAGAAGTCGGAGAAATGGGAGTAATGCAGAAACTCAGGATGTTCGTCGCTGAAGAACCAGTCGTCGCTGCTTCTTGCATTATTGGTGGCATTGGTATTTTTTTTCCCTCTTTCTAAACCCTAATTTTTATTTCCCGATTCAATTTCGTTTATCTTTAACTTTGATCAGCCTGTTATTTGTTACTAGATTTCCAATTCATTGTCTGATTGATCTAATAATTAGCCATATCCCTAAATTTATTGATTGCCATGCGACTTCTGGTAGTATTATGTAATTGGATCATTTGCTCAAATTAGCATCTTAAACTTAGGAATTCCTAAATTTTGGTTTCAGGATTTTCAATGTATTTGTACAAATGGAGCTATTTAGGACGACTTTCCTACAAGTTGTTTGTAGTTTAGATAGGATTTTGTTGGCGTAAATTTGTTTAGCTTTAACTTATGTGATGCTGAGCCATTTCAGACTTGATTTGTAGGAATTTTATCAGATGCTATAAGATTTTGAGCTCAACATGGTATCCCATTAATTTCTTTTCCTCGTCTTTAACGGACTTAATTGTTAAGGAGTAATTGTTTACGGTCTAGGTTGGATTGTTATCAGCATTTTAGGTATCTCAGGAAGGAAGTTAAGGTCTTTAGCTATCAGTTTGTCAGAGTATCTTAGGATGTTGGCATTCAGTCTAATTAAGGTTTTGAGGTGAGAACTAAAATCTGTGTAATATAAAATGTTTCAGTAATAAAGGGGGCATTTGGTACGAATAATGGAAACGGAATGGAAAGGAAATAAATAAGAGGGGGGAAATGAATCATTTAACTATTACAGTACCTTTTTATTTGTTTGGTTTAACCATAGAAAGAAATTAGTTAATCTTTACTCCCTTTGTTTGTGTTTGAGGAGGGTAAGAGTATTTGTACCCCAAGTTTTTGAGAGGTGACAAATGAGAGGTAACCATTACCCTTAGGTAATGATAATTGTTACTGAACCTTCTAACCAAACACTTGGTAACGGTATTGGTTTAATCGAATCCATTTTCAATCTAAAAAATACACAAACCAAACATGTTCTAAGTGTTTTCCATGCAATTTTGATTGTGTTCTTTGGCGAATATGAAAGTTTTTTTTGACTTGTTTTAGGACTTTGGAACACTGATTGTGCCAATATGATTATGATATTGGCTGGATGGTCTTAGACGCTTTGGTTTGATGGAAAGCACTTTCATTGAAAATTGACTTTTCGAAGACAAGTGAAAACATGAGCAAGGAAAAATGTGTCTTCCCTTCCTTAGAAAAGGAAAATATTGTCTGATTTCGTGCAAACCAAACAAAAGAAGATGGGAAATGGGAAAATGTTTTTCTCTCAACCTAACAATCTTTTGAAGAAAATTAAATAGTGTAAAACTGACATGATATAAGGACATTAAGGAGAATAGCTTAATAGATATGCAACTCAGGCCGTAAAAAACGGTTAATGTGCTGTGAATTTGACACTATTGTGTACCCTTGCTATTGGTGTATTTATCTATTCTGGCAAAACAATTCAATTGTGTTAGAAATTAAGATTTGGTGCCAGAGTCCATATTCTATAACAATACAGTGGTATGTGCTTTGGTTTTTTTAGTGTTAGACCATCAACTTTATGATTACTTTTTACTCTTTGTCTCGTATCAGTAGTTTTGAAAAGGATTGAAAGCTCAAACATGTTTTAGTTTAATGACAATCTACCACAGTAAGTTAGAATTGCAAAGAGATTTTTTTTTTTCTTTCATGATTCACACTGCAGAATACTTTTTAAATGCTTACTTGTATGATATTCAAATGCAAATGTATAACACTGTGGTTGTATAAGATTTGGAGAGATAGGTAGTGTAAAATGAGTGACATAAGTTTTTCTTTCACCTTTTGGATGTGGATTGTGAGGAGGCTTACTATGGCTATTGAAACACACCACAAATTCATTGGTGTGCCCAGTGTTTGAATAAGTGCGCCTAGGTGCTGAGGTGCAAGGCAATTAAAGGTATGCGCTTAATATGGTGAGGGCGAGGCTTTTTGTTTAGGCTCACAAAAAGCGTATGAGGCACACCAAGAGTGCACAAGGCGCACCTGAGCCAAACTTCAGCCAAATTTTTTTAACTGGCCAAATAGTGCGCTTCACTTCAAAGAGGTGTGCTGAGGCATGCCTTTGGCGCAGCCCTCTCGCTTCAATGCGCCTTGAGCTTTTTTATACATTGGGTGTGCCTGGCTTCTTAACAGTTAGAATTTTATAAGCTGTAATAACTTGATCTTCAATAGTTTAGGCTTATCGACAATTGTGTTCTCACTGTTATTTTCTGGTCTTACTCTTCAGGGCTTTTCCTTCCAGCTGTGGTGAGGCCTATGTTGGATTCTAGGAAAGCAGCCAACCAAGTACCTCCGCCCCCTTTGAATGATGTAAGTGTCTTATGTGTTCTCATGCTAATTCTTGCTCCATGTTACAAACAATACCAAGCTCTTCCTTTTCTATAGATCACAATATATTCTTCTGTAGAAGTTTACCTTTTGGATATGTTCCCTTCATTGTGGAGCCTATTGTTTGATTTTTTAATTTTGTTTTGGCACTTTCCTGATTGCAATATTAAATCAAGTTTTAGTTAAACGCTGATCACAATGTGTCATGTTTGTTCCATTGTCAGCTCGTGTGGTAGCCAGCTTTATATAGCGGTAATGAGAATGAGTTCTAACTTCTAAGTGTAATTGGGAAAGCAAAGTGACATCCTTTATTTATTTTTAAAGTTAACATCCTCATCCCCAAACTTTTTTTTTTTCCCCGTAATTGTCCATTACGTCCTAATACTACCCCCCAAGCAGTAACTGGTGGCAATGAAAATTTTGTAAGAAAAAGAGTTAACTCGGGGTAAGCTATCATTGCCATGGGAATGGACATTATTTTTCTTACAAATTTATATACCAATTCATACCCATTAGTCTATTACCACAATGTATGGTACTATCCTAATGGTTTTTAAGATTGTATTGATTCTTTGGTTTTAAGATATAGAGAGTTTTCTCGATATAATATATATAAAATAATATCCTGGATGTACCTAGGTGAAACTGAATGTGTAATGGAATTCAAATTACTCCTTGCCTTCTGCCTAGCACTTTTTTAAAGATGGTGGGATAGTTTCTTTGTTGATTTATAGGTCTCGGTCTGTTCCACAGAGTAAGCTTATACAGAGTACTTTGTTCTGGGTAACTGGATGCTCAAATTAGCTGTGCACCTGCTTCACAGTTCACACTCTTTTATCTGATGTGTTTATGGATTATCGCTTACACGATAATATTTATCATCTGGATTTGTAGGTTGTTGCTGGTGTTGTTGGTAGAAAAGAATGAAGCAGATCATGGATGTGAGTCTTGATTTTTCTTGAAGCTCTCTTGTCTTCTTTTAATGTGAGATACATTCTCATAGGAAATAAGCCATTTTTTGTATGAGCTAGATATACTGTTTTTCATGTTTCTCCATTTTGATTGTACTTAAATATGTTTACCTAAGCTTCGGATCTGAAATTCATGGTGTGTGTGTTTTGCACTCCATATTTTCACTATTTTGATCCATTACCTCACAAGATTAATGAAGAACTCCGTTACATACTTACATGCCATTTCAAATGCTAATTTTTCCAGTGCTGATTTAATTAGTGTTCCCTCATCAAACTACCATCAACCGTGAGAACTTTGAGAGTACTAACCTTTAATTAGCTTAATTCTGAGAAAATATTACATTAACACTTTCCAAAATGATAAATTAGCTCTGTTCTATAGTTAGCTGCAATACCTTGCCAGAAAATGCCGTAGTAGCTAGCTCAAGGATAATATAAGCTCTGTGCTATAGTCAGCAAGCATATGTTGAAGATAAATAATTTATTGAGGCTTTCTTGTACAATTCTCATGAGCCGAGATTGTGAGCAAAGTTTGTTGACCCAGACATACATTAGGAACTATGGGAGAATGTAGGTTACTTATTCAGCCATCTGCCATCCAATTTTGGTGATACAAGGGATTTTAAAATAAGACAAGAGACATGTATGCCTCCTTACAATGGGTGGAAGCGATTATACATATATACTAGGTTATGTTGTTATCGATTTGTACAAGGTGTAGCCTGTAGGAACCTTCTAAAATGCGTAAAACCTCTATTGCTATCGTTTTCTTCCTCAACCTCCCAAGTCCCAACTATAGAAGACTAGTGAACTCCACTATAGGCAGTTAGTACAGTAACTTAGAATGCCAATGCCACTAGTTTTTGCGCAGCTTCAGTGCTTTTTTGACTAAGACAAATAATGACAGAAGTCAATGCAAGTTTGTCAATAATGCCAATAGGCTTTTTTTTTTTTTTTTTTTTTTTTTTTTTTTTTTTTTTTTTTTTTTTTGAGAATGCCAATAGGCTCAATATAGGACTTTTTGTGATTTATTTTAGTGATGTTGGTGATAGGAATGAGATGCTCTTCTCCACTGTTTCTTATTATAATGGGAAGATTGGTGCAGTTATATTCTATCTCCTCCATAACAGCACTAAACAAACATGGTAATGGGAACTGTGCAGCAAAAACTTTTAGTCAAGATAAGAAAATTATACAAAGCAAAGACTAAGAACTTAAAGAGAGCGTAAAAAGTGTTACGGGATTGTAAGTATAATATGGAGTATTCCACATTTACTTTAATATGGGTCGGAGGGAGTAATTAGTAATAGCATTAACATTAGCAATCTAGCAGTTAGTAGTAAATTCTTTGTGAAGGTTTTGTGTTGGCTTAGCAGTTTGGTAAGTACATATATGCCATTTTCTATTTGAAACCAAATTATGATAACTAGTCGTTGGGTAAGTAGCAGCTTGATCAGTGTATTTCAATGCAGTTGCTTTTATTTGTTAGTCAATGTCATCAATTAATCATATTTAAGAGAGAGAAAAGAGAGAAAATGTGGTTGCAATCTGAATATTGTCGCAAATACATTGATTGTTTTTTCTTTTGGAAGTTACAGGCCGTTAAAGAAGTTATTCGTCTTTGTTGTCCTGTAATTGACCTGGTTTAATTGAGCTACAGTACATGTAATGGATTTGCTTTTATTGCTGCATTTAATCAAACTTTTGCAATTGATATGAACAATATTATAACTTAAATTGACTCCATGTATAGTTGCGATTTTAAGATAAAGTATGTAGTTGGCCGCTTAGATTTGAGAAGAAATCAAGAAATTCAATGATTTATTAAGATTGTATTAATGCATAACCTGCCTATTTGTTGTCAAAGAGAAGATGAACATTCAAGTTGGTGATATCAGAGAATAACAATTTATTTACTGATAGATGAGTAAAAGCATCATCTGTATACCTTGTCTAATTATAGAAAGTTAGCGTCTGCATTAACTGCCTGCTATTCAAAGGTACTGTTGAGATGATGTTTATGGTGGTTTGACTTGGTAGAATTAGAGGAAAGTTATGGTTTTGGGAACGAATGCAGTTCGAGTTGTCTAGTTTGGCAGTTGTTCGTCTTTGTTTTCTGGTTTGTTTTACAAAATTTGTAGGATGAGTAACTTGACATATGACTAAGATTTGTTTTGATTCTTGTTTATCTCTTTCGTTCTCAAGTGTCCTTGAATTGAGGAAATTGATACCAATGACATTTCCTTATGATCTTACTTTCTGGTGATTTTTTCATCCAAGACGTCGTGTGGTTTAAGTTGGCACTTAAAGAGATACCTGCTACTGTCATTTTCATGTTTATTGCAAGATTTATGAACATAGATACTAAGTAGTAGACTCTTAGCAAGGTCCCATATTCTAAACGCCCTACCAAATTGTTTCTTTTAGGTTCATAAGGAGCCGCATAGCCAGTGGTGGTGTTAATGCGACTTAATCCAAACACCTTACCAACTAAACTATGTTCGCAATCCTATTATACCTAATTCGGGAATGTAAATAGTAGGATTTAGTTATGCTATTTTGTTAATACTGCTAGAATGATAAGAGCTAACATTAAGCTAGAATAAAGAGAGCTCGGAAATTTAGCTAAAATTTCAACTTCGTGATATCTCCTTATTGAGGTAACCAGAACAGGATGTTCAAATTTCAGACTACTAAACTTCTTATACAGTACTAATTTACAAGTACCAGTAAAATTTTATACAAGTTGAAACGCAAATCAAGCATAACATGTAATAACATACTCCGTACTCAGTAGCTTCTAAGAGTTCTAACTGTATGTTCTCCAATACTATCACAAACACTGCAGAAAATGATAAAATTTTGGTGTTTACAGCCTTGAATATTCGACAATTCGAGTCGTTTTCATCAAAGGGAGCGAAAAAGAGAGATCGCGAGAGAGCTTTAATAAGAAGAGGGGTATGGAGCAGATGGTTTTGTCACAGGCATTTGGGTTGGTGGCAAACCGATAGAGACTTGTTACTGCCAAAAGATGGAGATGTGTTGGTTTTACCAGGCATCTTTCTTCCACTTCGTACTCCTCCTGGGGCTCGGTATTACTTGCTTGAAAGCCCCATATATAGCAGCCTGCACCATTTTAAGAGTTTCTCACTTTTCAGTACATTTATTAATACACAGTATATTCAGCTTTTTAATTAAAACATTGAGTAGTATGCTTTACTAACATATACTCAATTTACTACGTATATTTATCTATCCAGAGGAGGGCTTCTTAATGTTAACTTTCTTGTCTGAATATATTTTCTTGTATATTCTCAATTAGTATATGATTGAAGCATATTTCTATCACTTTCTAACTCAGTAAACTATACACTTTCTCATAATTACTCTTGCCAAAGAACTCTTAATGAAAATCTCCATTTTTTTAATTACTTAATTAATACTCTTGGTTGAACCTTCGATTTTACCCTTAATATGACAAGGGTTTGATCCTCATTAGGTTCTCAGTACTCTCTAACTTTTATTAGAGGTATTCTCTCTTTTGTTTATTTTTTTGTGTTAAAAGTAACATCAAAGAAAATATCTAGAATGGATATTTTAAAAATTGTTGTTCTTGATATGACATATTTATAGATTTAAGTGCAAGAAAATAGAGGTAGATCTTCAATAATGACAAAACAGAAACATCATTAAGGCCTACTCATGAGTGATTATAGAGTATGATTAGAATTAAGGCATAATAATAAATTTAGTAGTTGTAACCTAAAACAAAATCAATAGGCTCTAAAATAATCTATTGAGTGTGACAGTGTGATGATGTTATTGTAGGACCATTAATATGGACCCTATGCTCCAATTTGGTGCTACATCACACAAATCGACGTATCCTTTTTTAGCTCCCTAGGAAAAGTCATACTAGGAGACTAACCAAGGCAATATTAGCAACCTTTCTTGGATTAATACTAATCACCTTAAATCAATGCTTGCACATGATATTTGCCAAAGACAAGATTGATGACCCTACAATATATTTAGTAGGTGGCAAAGAATAATAATTTATGCACTTGTTTAATCGAGTTTTACAAATTATATGAGAAATAATCACGAGGATGATAACTGACTCTTAAAGATGAACAAAAACATCCAATCTCCAAAATATATCTTGATATTACTCACATATGCAAAGATGTAATGAGAGTTATCAACTTATCATACTACGGAGTATGATACAGAGATTGGACGATTTTACCCATCTTTTAGATAAAGTTGTCCTGATGAGATCTTTGATTACTACTGTACTAATGTAATTCGAGTTTATCAGTAATCAATGCGCCAATTCCTATAAATAGAAAAGATTAAACTGCATTATGAACCCAGCACGTTTAAGGTATGATTTTCTTAAGAATTAGGACCATAAACCAACCTTGATAATGATGGATTGGACAATATAACAAAAATAAGCATATATCCTTACAGTATCTAATGGTGTGGACTGTTTACAATGGCAAGTTTGTTGATTGTCATTTTGTTGGTTGTTTAGATTTCCAAATTGGAAATAGAAAAAAATAGGGGTTGTTAGCAATGACCTCTAAATGAAGCACTGTTATGTGTCTTTATCAAGTGATAATGGACTCTTGAAAGTTTATAATTGTCACTCATTTCTCTTTCTCACTTACTGTGGTAATTAACCACTACCACCCTCCCACCCACCCACCCAATAAGAGAGGTAGTAGTAATCAATGACTTATCTTTCATTAAGGAACATGATATTAATTTACACTTCCTAGGCTCCACATAAATATAATTCTCTTGATATATCTTAGTTTTGGATATAATGAAATGTAACAAAAGGATGCCTTTGTACAATGTTTATACTGATCTCTTGTATCTGGCTGAAATTATGTTACTAATATTACGAGTAAATCATTTACATATGTACTCGTATCCAACACTTGTACAAAATTGACCAACTCTATAAGGATTATGGGTTAATCGGTATAATTATTTCTACTTATCTCTGTGGTTGAATCATTTTATTTGATCTAATTTTGGATGTTCAATCTGATCCTGAATTGTTCCCTGATTTAGTTTGGAGAAACTCTTAACATATATATCAACATAAATGCTAGATATGTTATCGCCTAATGTAGTAAAGGAGTGAGTAAAATTAGTTTGCTATCTGCCTATCTAAAGCAATTGTTACTGTGGTACTATCAACTTGTAATTTATGTCAAAAAATACTACGTAATAAAAATTCCTAGTTATATGCCCCAAAATGGTTGGAAATTATGTGTACTCTAAGTAAGTATTGATGTCCTGATCTTAAGACACAAAAGAAGGGTTGCTAACTCTTTAGAAGGCCAAAACATAAAGCCATAAAGGTCGAGCTTAAATTCAAAATATATCAAACGCACTGCCTTTTCCAATTCAAATAACTTTGGTCCCAAAAATTATACTTTTATGTATATGTAAATGTATTTTTGGCCTATATATATTTCAATTTGATGGTCCAAACTTTAAAGGAGACAGACAGAATATACATTCTGAAACAAAGTTCCATATCAAATACTTACAATTGAATATACTACATTGTTTCCAACAATCTTTATTTATTGTGAGAAGCATGATCTATAACTATAGTCATCCTTTGTGTGTAGTAGGTGTTGAGTGTAATTCAAACACTCTTCACTTAAGGCTGTTTAATTTGAGAAAGTACTTTAACTCTACTCGTTGAAAAAAGTAGTTAGACAACTAATAGAAAGTGAAACATTCTAATAGGCACTCTTATTAATTATACTTAGACTCGGGTTAAAACCACTTTTGGAATCACGCCCCTATTAATGGCCTCACTGTTAGTTAAATAGTCAAACTCGTTTTCTTTAAATTGTTGAGTGTTTGACTAATGAAACCCTTAATATAATGGGCACTTCTATATCTGGTGATTCTGAAGTTCAGCTCTATCATTGAACTCAGAGCAGGTGCCACACATATGGTGGTTAGGAACTTAGGATCCTATACACATCCAATCACCACACTCCCTACTTTCCATCTTTTCTGGCTTTTATCAAGTTTTTGTAAGTTTATGAAATTTCAAAGTCAAGACACTTGTCCCGAATTTCTTCGCAACACTTAACTCTTACACTATTTACGAATTTCATTTAGAAGTTTAGATTATCATCAGTGATTTATATTAAATTTGTCTCACAGTATATTTTTAAACTATTAAATTTTTACTGAGTATAATTTATAATGATTGAAATTGAAAATTGAAAATTGAAAATTTTACACAGACAAACGTTGAAAATGGGAGTGCCTAACAATACAGTAAGATATTTTATCCACTTATCAATTCTAAGACAGAGTATTCCTAGATTATACAGCATGACAAACACATTTCTGACAACTTTGGTAACTCCAATAAATCACAAAAATCAAAATTCTCACCTTTTTTTTTTTAGCCAAATTCATTACTAATTCAAACAAAATCAATTAAAGATTAAAACAAAAACATAAAAACTTACCCAAAAATGAGACTTATTTTGTGATAAACCCAAGAAATTGGTCTTCTTACTATTCATCTTTGAAACCTTAACAAATGTTCCACCACCTTCACCGTTACCGTTACCGTCACAGCCAGTACAAGTACTAGTAGCACCATCATCAACAGAAACCAACGTTGGAAAGACGAAATTACCCTCATCAACAACTTCACTAGTTTTACTATTATTATTACTACTCTTGAAATCCTTTTTTTTCCAAGAACCAAACAATCCCTTATTCTCTCTCCTACTACTCCCACTTCGACTAAGAACAATAGTCCCAAGTAACCCTCTTTCAGGGCTACTTCCTCGACTACCCCACAAACTAAAGGTACCATCAAAAGAGCCTTGTCTTTTCCTAAGAAACCTAAAAGATGAAGATTTTCCGACAGCAGAAGTGAAATTACTATAAGGACCTTCAAGGACAGTAGTAGGGGAGGGTGTTTTGGTAAATTTGGATTCATTGAGTAACCTAGGAGGTAATTCTAAGGACTTAACGGTGTTAGTCACGGTTGACGGAAGAGCGAGTGTAAGACAAGGTAAGGGCTTTCCAGGATGTTCCTCCCATTTGAAGGGTACTGAAGCTGATGTATGTAAGGGTGATGTCAGATTTCCTGAATAACGTTGTTGTTGGTTTTTTAGTGAGTATAAGGGTAGTTTTGGAATTGTTGTGTTTGTTTCTGCTTCTTCAAATTCCATGATTTTTTGAAGAGAGAGATAATACAAAGTAGAGGAAGAAGAAGAAGAGAAGTGAAGAGAAAAGTGAGGGATGAGTTTGTTTGAGTTAGTGTGTATTTTGGGCTGAAGAAAAATGTGAATGTGACATTATATTTGAGAGAAGGTGTTTTTTGTCTTCTTTGACGGGCTTTTAATTCATTGTCCCTTTTTTTCTTTTTGGGAAAGAGGTGGGGAAATTAGGAAATTGTATAACTATTTTAAAGTTGTATAAAAAAAAATAAAAGATTGTATTTGAAAAGTGTTACTTGTATAATTTATGATTTTTGAGGGTGTATTTTTTTTCAAAATGATTCCGCTTTTGTAGAAAGAAACTGTCTTTGAGAATATATCATTGCATTAGTTTCACACTAAAGTTGTTTTAGAAAATATTGTCAAATTTTAATGTGTAGATGGTACTCCCCCGTTTTTTAATATGGAACATGCGTTTTATTTCTCTTGGACATATATGTCTATTGCCCTGCAAATCTTTGACTAATAACATTTTTAACTATCAATCAATAAGTATGGATCATAGTAATCGAAAATTAACAAACTATATTGGTGTTTGTTTGCATACAGTATTACTTCACTCTTGATTTTGGAGGTTTACTATTGATGATAACAATGAAGCATTTTTGATGGAAACGATGAAGCTAAACCCAAAACTGATCTGTTGAGCATGAACATTAAATTATTTATCAAATATTACTGCAAACTAGTTCTTTAACCACGTACAACATGTATTGTTAGGTTAGGTCATATAAAAAGAAGAATAATTAACACTAAAACCTAACAAGTTAATTACAAAGTTAAATCTACTAAACAAGTACTCTAGATCACCAACAACATGAAATGCCTAAATCCAATATAGTAAATTTGGTAAATGACTGAAATTGAAAAATATCATAAGCGTTTAAACAATTCAAAGTTGATCATAATATAACTTTGTTATACTCCGTATATTATTCAGAAAATCAGTGGTATACTGGTATATATGAGCTAGAGAGGGGTGTTGATAATATTGATTCATCTTTATTGTCGGTAAAGTATTGTATAAATAGTCAAAATCAAAGCTACTTTATTAATATTACAAGATAAAAAAAAAAAAAAAAAAAAAAAAAAAAAAAAAAAAAAAGTGGAAAATTTAGTGAGAGCTTAAATGTTGTTTGACGCGTAATTAATTAAAAAGTGAAAATGAGAGCTAACAAAGATTTGGACCAATTTGGTACCCAACATATTCATGCATTTCATTTTTTTCCCACCTTTACTGAAGAAGAAAGCATCGTACTTTTTTTTTTTTTTTTTTTTTGGTTAGAGGTGGTAGCTAAAGCAGTGTATGATTGACCATCATAACTATATATTAATCATCTTGTACTTTCTCTTGTGTAGATGCAAAACAGGATAAACTAAACTTCTAATCGAAAAAGTCAATTGCCTAACAAGTTGGGTTTTTCCGATCACATCGATTAATCAATATATTATCACGACATACACACATTTAATAGGCAATAATAGATAACGGTAATAATGGTGAAGTTATGTTTAGGGTCCGTTCACTTTAACTTAATTTCAGTTCAGTTCAGTTACAATCAATTCAGTTCAGCTCCTAAATTCTTTCTCTCATAAAATATTCAATTCAGTTCAGCTCTTAATTTCCTTCTCTCATAAAATATTCAATTCAGTTCAGTTCAGTTTTGAAAATGTGAACAGACCCTTAATCACTTTTATACTTCCTATTGTAAAACAGTTATCCCGACTCAAATACATAAGAAATATACGGAGTAGCCTTGATTCATAGTTTGTCCCATGTTTCATATAAGTATATCTACGGAGTATTATACTTACAAATATTTCATTTCTGACCTTACAAAATACAAGTATTAGTCAATATTTTGTCCTCCACATACATGTAACGTTAAACTATAGAGGACTTAGAGGTCTATGTTAGTGGTGTATAAAAATACAAGAAGTGTGCATGAAAAACGATAAGGTCCCAAGTCATGACGCTAAAATGACAGACACTTAGTTCTTGAAATGCACGTAATGACGTGCATGTTGTAGACTCACCACTCACCCTTAAGGTCGAGGATGACTTTGGCTAATTAATGTGATTAGGACGGATACAATTTAACTAATTAAATAAATACCAATTATGTTCATGGTTGAGGAATCATAAAACAAACATTTTACAAATTATAAAAATGCAGCAAATGAAAACGGATATTATAACTTGTGAGCTTAAATTTGACTTATACGATAAGTTTAATTCGTGATACACATATATAAAACAAGGATAATACACACACTAGAATTTGTTCAATTTAGACTAATTTTCTTTTGTTGATGGTGGCATTTTATTTTTAAAAAAAAAAAAAAAAAAAAAAAAAAAAACTTCGTATAACAATTTTAATTGTATGTATTTATTGTATATATTTGTAATAATGTCAAATACTACTTGGTATTTAAGTTAGGGGTAACAAAAATCCTTGATTGGTAGGGTCTTGCATGAACTACGCCATACGAAGGAGGAGGGCTAGTAAATACGGAGTAATCCATTTTATAAAACCATTCATATAATGAATTAAATCTGCATGAACCTTATTGATTTGGGTAGGTCAGTTTCCTGACTCTTCCATCCACTTTAGAGTCTTCATTTAATTGAAAAGATTAGTCAATGAATTAATTGACTCACTTTAATTCTTTACAAAAATGAAAAGAATAAAGATAGCCTCCATAATTTAATTTAATTCCTTACTTTTTAATTGATTAAAACAAAGATAAATGGACACAAATGATCTGAATTAATAAGGGGGAGAAAAAAGAGCATATATAATCAATAATCAGTAGAGTACGATTTGATTAAATTAAATGAAAGTTTTGTTCAAGCCCAAGTACATAACTCCAAAAGATTGGGCTACTTTCAAGCCCTCAGTCCACACAATTTACTCTCCTGGCCTTGAACCATCAAAACCATATTAATAGAATAGCTTAAAGAGAGTCCTAATGACCTAATTATCGACAGTGATATATTCAAATTTATACTAGTATATTTTATCTATTTTTAAAAAAAAAATACTGTACGTGTGCTTTATTGTTTTATTGAATTATAATTAAAGATAACTTATACTATATAAATATTTATTTAACGGTTCATCTCATGATTTTGCTACTCCTCCGTCTCTAAATTACATTCCTAATTCTCTCTATTATGTGAGGAATAAATATACTTGTGTTTATATGACTCTTCTCCGACGTGAACACGTGAAAGTGTCGGACAACACCCATATTTTATCATAAAGGTAAGGATCTTTAGCTTTATTACTCCATGTGAAGCAAAGGAGAAGGGATGAACCTTTTGGATTTTGTATGTTTTGCACTTTACATTAGTGATTAGAGTGCTATGCGTTTATAACGTGTGTAGGAATGGATAAAACTACTCAAAAGGCCCAAAGCATCTTTAAGGTAAAGGTATAACCATTGGGTCAACGGGTCATCCAAATATATGGGTTAGGATGGCCCGAGAATGGTCTAATTTCTTATCTTATCTTTTTCTTTTGAAGAATTCATGGATACATACTTCATCTATTCCTGAAAAATTCGTTTTAATATCATTTTTAAACCATTACTTTCTGTTGCTATTTTACCCCTTTTCCCCATACTCTATCCCTTTTTTTTTTTACACTCACCCACTATTTACCCCTTTTATCTTATTTAGTTCACTTCCTCTCTCATACTGACACTTTTTCCATACATTCTTTTTTCCATACATTCCTATAAAACCATCTCCAATGGTGAGACTAATGGTGAGACTCAACTTTGAGTATTGAAATACAAAATGAGTTGTTTTTTTTTTACCTCCAATGGTGATACCCAACCCGCTTTTCAATTTAGCAACTCATGTAAAGTCTAATTTCCCAATGGTAATACGCTCTAAAATATACAAATGTCACTTTCATTTATGGCCCATCAAATCTATTTTTTTTTTAATATCAAATATTATAAAATTAAAAAATAATAATAAAAAAAGGTAAACTTAAATAAGTTACAAAATATATTAGACTATTGACAAGGACCCACAATTTTTTGTCAAATGAGACTCAAAGTTGAGTATCTAAATTTAACAACTTTCTTTTGGAGTTGCTAAGTTTAGATACCAATTTATTGATATACATTGCAAAATATTCTCTTCTAAAAATATTTACTTGAGTCTTATCATTGGAGAGGGTCTAAGTAAAGTTTACAATTAGCGAATCAAACTCTAAGGAACGAAAGGAGAATGACCCATCATTATTTGAACAGCCCAATTACATCATGATCCTCATCATTGGATGCTCTAACTCATCAGACGGCTCATACTCTCCCTCTATTTTATTTTAATTTAATATTTTATTTTTTTATGCTATATCATAAAGTATATAGCACGTAATGTAAAGACGTAAAGTACTATTGGTCTACACAGAAATGCAACTTTCTCTCCTTTATACTCCGTAATATCTTGTCCTTCTCTTAAATTGTTTTTCCTAGTGACGGTCCAAATCATATGGATCCTTATGTGGGCCTTAAGGCCCATTCAAGGACCACCGTTAATCTGTGCAGAATTATTTTAAAAATTTTATCATTTCTTCTTTTTTAACTTTTTAAGTATCTAATCATGCTATACTAGAATGTGATTCCACATAATAGAGACAATTTGGACTAATAAAATACGTAAGACTTGATTAATTAATTGTATATTATAGTTTGTTGGGTAGCATATAATCATGATCTGCAATTTGTAGATATAACTAGCACCCCATTAGTGAATTTTCAATGTTTTTCAAGAGTGAGAAAATGATTGAACATTTATGAAGTTTTGTTTAAGGAGGATTGTGAATGTATTTTCCAACCAACTACTACCATATTTAGGGCTTGTTCTCATACGTCTATTTTCAGTTTAGTTTAGTTTAGTTCAATTCATCTCAGTTCAGTTTAGTTCAGTTCAGTCCAGTTCAGCTGAGTTCAGTTTATGAGAATAGGCCCTTAGTCATGTAGATACAGAATTAAACCACCCATTGAAGACGGCTAACTTGATGGCTATATTTTTTTTTTAATGTCAAGTTAGTATCAATATTCGCAAACAACATAACAATCATACATTTTTATTTTAACTGTATGTCACCACAACTCACCAGCTTAACTAATAACAAAAGGTAATTGGACCTTTTATAATTTAATAAACAGCCCAATTAAATATCTTTACAAGGTTTTAATGGACCAGTCAAATCCTCAATATTTAACATTAGTGCATGCCCAAGAAAATAAATTGTTCCAAATTATAGGGTTGGTATTT